TTAACTGAATCTGAAATAGCGATAACTGAGTTACCTCGATTAAAACAGAACGAGGAAGAGAATAAAATAGAAGAGAAGGAGAAAACAAATTCTAAAGTGGGACGTACATCAAATGAAAATCAATCTTATAAAGCAATATATAACGCAGATAACGAAACAACAATTGAAAATCAAAAAGAATATAATATTGTTTCAAACCAGTTACATTCAACAGAGAAAGATTTGAAGAGTAAAGATGAAATATTAAAAGAACATGAAATTGAAGATAAACTCAATTTAAATACTGCTCCTAATATATTAATCAAACCTTATCACATATCTACTGTTGATAAAAATGATTTCGTAAATTCAGCACTGAGTGATTTAAATAAAAAGATCTATGAATCAAAAATAAAAGATCAATTGATCAATGATCAAACAAATTTAAAGAAAAATGCTGATTCAGATTCATCTATTAAATCTGATGCAATTAAAAATGGCTCCCGTTTAGATGACTTTAAAAATACTATACCTGAATCAAATATAAAGGATGCATTAAATTTTAACGTAAAAGACGATGCTCGCAATATTTTAATTAAATCTACAGATGCATCCAACGTCGCTAAAAATGAATTACACAATGAATACAAGAATTCAATTTTAAGTGATTCAAGGAAAATTATACATGAGCCAAAAGCAGAGAATGAATTAAAAATTGATATAAAAGACAATAATATATTTAAATCGAATGATACATCTACTACAATTAATAATAACTTAATTATTAAAGATGAAAATTCAATTTTAAATCATCCAAAACAAGTGAAGAAGTACGAATCAAACGTAAAGGATCGATCAAGATTCGATTTGAAGAAAGACATTAATTCTGATACATTAATTGAACCTGCTACGATTAATGATTTAAACACCGATTCAATCTTAAGTGATACAAAGACTTATGAATCAAAAATACCAAAGGAATCGAAACTTGATTTAAAAAAAGATACCGACTCTGGAATACCATCTGTCAAATCTCAGCACACATCTGCACCAATTAATGATTTAAATACCAACGATTCAAAGGATTCAAAGGACTCAAAGATACTTATTTTCAAATCGAAAATACCGAACGAATCAAAGCTCGATTTGAAAAAAGATATTGGCTCTGATACATCAGTTAAGTCTATCGCGATTAACAATAATTCCGATAAACCGACCACTTTCGACTATAAATCTAATTCAATTAATGATTCAAATAAATACGAAGGAAAAGGTGACTCAGAAAATTTAAAACCAGTAAAGAATACAGACAATGATAAGAATTATGAATCGTTCCAAGCAGTACGAAATCAAGAAACACCTAATATTCCTAAACCTCTCGATCAACATTGGACCAGGATACTGCTCGATCAATCATCACCGACGAATAAGATTGCGACAAATAATCCTGCGAGAATTCCTTCCATTTCAAGCCCCGTACGTTTCTCCCTGGACGAGAACGAAAGGAATCTTAAGTCGAGAGGCCCTTTGTCCCGTGTTTCTCAAACGACGCCATCCAACGAGATAAGCGTAGAAATTCCAAACGCTAAATTGGTAAAGAAACTGCAGCCCAGTTTCTGGAAGTTAGCAAAACCGCAGACAGGAATCGTGAATAAGAGCGAGCAGCCCGTCCCCGTATCTTTGAACGAGTTCAAATCGCGTCCCGATGAAAAAGATTCTGACAGATCGGTGAAATTCTCATCTTATACATCGCCGGGCAAAGTTTCGGGGGCCGGGGCTAAGAATGACGATTTATACACCGTTCTCAAATCTCTTTCCCTGTTTACACGTTTTCGAGACGATTCAAAGGATAAAAAAGTTCTGACCGCAGCGCACGAAGACCGCGTATCGACCACTGAGGATGCGCCAAAAGTTGGCAGCGTTGAAAGGATGAACGATAAATCTTCGAGCATACCTCAAGTAAGTATGGTTCGAGAAAGTATTATGATTTTTCTCTATTAAGAATCTTGCGACGCAGGAGCATTAGCAATTTGTTATTTGTTTTTTCGTTTTCTTTTTCTGTTTTGCAAAGGAATCAAATCGAGTGGATGTTTACATAGTGAAGCAAGCTTCCGAAGGACCAGTAAGAATCGCGCATATAGATAACACGAAACCTCTTGTTGTGACCAGCGAAGAGATTTCGAGAAGTTCGTACGAAAAGGTGATCGATATATTGGAAAGAAATGGAATTAAAACTGATATATCGGCAGCGTAATGACAAATGTTTTTGATTAATAATAAAATTGTTATTTCATGTGCTTAGCGTTTGTTTAGCAGTGATTATTCTGAAAATATACGAGTGTTATGATTAACGAGTCGAAAATGTAAAAAATCAGTTTCGCTTTTGCTTTAGTTCACGTTAATTAAGATTAATGGAGAATAATGGATTAAATCGTGTGTATTTTACGCACCATTAAACGCTATATTATACGTATCGCATTATAACGACTAAAATGTCGATTGTGTAATTATAAGTATTCGTAATTACGAAAAAAAAAAATATTAAATTGTGTAAATGTTATTAATAAAAATTATAATCTGCAAGTTAATGAAAATACACTTTTGAAACTTGTCCTTCATTATTTTCCACGCATATCATCATTACCATAAATACAGAAATTTTAAAATAAATCAAAAGTAATTATTCTAGAAACGTAAATTAAATTTTTTTCCATTATATATATTCGATATATTCAAATTTAAAAAAATTTTTTTTCTTTCATACTAAAATTCGTCGAGAATAAATAAGGCCGAAAAAAGAGGAATACGAAACGAATTGAAAGGATTACAGGGCAGGAAATGCAAGGCAATGATAGCCAATTGTCGTATTTCAAGGGTGTGTTAGGCGCGAATCAATTTTGGATCAGCAATTTCGTGATCACAGGTTGTGTGTGCGTTCCAATTGATTCAACGGGATAAACGGGAAAATTATTGTCCGACATATTTGCATATCGTTCTATAATCATGGTAAATTTATAGCCACATTGATTCCGTAAAAGACATAAATGTTCTCTCTCATTGAAAAAGTGATTTATGTTGAATTCAATTTTCGTCTCAAGTATTATATATTTACGATTATACTCGTACAAGAGTATTCTCCTTACATGTACAACGTGCATTCCCCATTATTATTTATTACAATATATTTATATTCGTGCACAAAATTCAAACTCGAAAAACGATCCAATTCCACATACTTTCTCGTCCAAACTTTCTCAAGACGAGAAAAAAAATCGCAAAACTACTGCGTGCACGCCGTAAGGAAATCCATTTCTCGATCCACGTCTCGAGAACCCTTCCCCAAACGTTTCCTCGAACCGCTTTACCCCCGATACACCACGAAACACTCCCCGCCATCTTGAAAGTGTGTCAAAGATGTGAGCTGAATGCAGACAATATAGCATCGAGAACAATGCCGAGGGGCGTTATTACAGAAACGTCCCTCAAAATCGGATGTTAGGTACAAAGATTATTGCGACGAAAGGGAACAAGGCCTCGTTCCTTCCAAGAAGACGATCCGCTTGCGGTTCCATCAACGTCACACCGTGCGCCCCCGATCACGATTGTTCTAACTGCCACTCTCATTCGTGTAAAATGGAGATAGAGATATACGTGTATGGAGAAGATGACGTTAAAACCACGCACGCTCTGGATGGATCTCTTTCGAGAAAAGTTGTCGCGCACGTTCTCGAGTTTAAAGGGGGCCATTACCGTTGAACGCTCGGCATTATCGTCGAACGAGCCGGAAAACCGTCGAGGTTGACCAGACTCGGGTCAGCCAGGATATATCGTCCTCTCGACGACGGGTCGTGGCCATCGTGAAACTTTCTTTATGACTCTCGAGGCAAGTACAGCTTCATCATAGGCCGGCTCGCCCGAGGGGGATCAGGGCGAAAGTTTGCGGCTCGTTGGCTGGCGTATTCGTGGGCGAAACGTTTAGCGGTGGAATGACTTCTTGCGGGCGATAACTGGCCGGTCGTTTAACTTTGCTTGTTGTTACATGCACGTGTGCGGCATTGGTACAACAGAGCTGTTACATCGTGGGGTCAATTAACCAACTTTCTTTTCGCCGGCGATGCGGAGGGGGATGCGGAAGCGGACGATGAAAGTTATTAATTTCGCGTTATTAATCGGTCGAGAGCCGTGTAATTTTGTTACGTTGTACCCTTTGAGGGTTATTAGGGAGGACAGCTGACAGCGTGAATATGCTCGTGATGGCTCGAGTTCCAAACAGGCGGGGGAAAAAATTGAACTCGCCTTGTGGAAAGTTTACCTTGTGGAAATTTTAATGGAGTTTTTCTTCAGGGAACAGGAGATGCACGATAGATTGCATTTTTATGGGGAAATATAATAATGTGTGTAATAAATGATTTGTTGAATAACGGGGCACGATACTAAATTTTGTCTTTGTATACACCTTGGTTTTGCTGCAGCTAATAAAAATCTTGTACAGATTGATAAGGTGTTAATACAATTCCGTGCGTTCGATAAAATTTTATGAAGAAAGATACTATACAAAATTCCAACTTCTCTGTTTCCTATTTTTTTAAATTAAGTAAATTGGATATTTCTTAATGTTCATCTTCTTTATATTTTCTCAATGATGTTTAATTATATATACATGTTTATAAATCTTTATAAATTGTTCTATTTCAACGATAACGTGCCTTTAATTATAATAATGCAAATATGAACGCTCTCTTTTTCGTTATATTTCATTTAGGTTTACGGAATTTTGATAGAATTTTTCAGATTTGATCTGGTACTTTTTCGATTTCAATCAGTTTCAGATTTAAAAAGCTAATTATCGATCTTGACTCCATATCTAATCAAAATCCAATGTTTTTGCACAAAAACATACATCATTGATTTCCCTTTCAATACCGAATATTTAAAGAGACATCCGATTATGATATTATTCACGAAATGAAACGAAAGCCAAAACATATTTTCTTACCATATTTTTACATCGATATTCTTACCTCGAAGTCCGTGAAGGCTTTGTAGGTTAGGATCAGGCAACCGCCGAAGAATAGACAGGTGGCCAGATTTCTGGTGTCGGCCAACGAGGCAACCAAAGGAACGGATCCCATCTGCCAATCATGAGACAGCGTCGCTGGACAAAGTAATAACCAACAATGCAGGGCTGCCAGATAGCAAAACGTCAAGAATCTGAAACGAAAAAACACGGGTTGTTCTCGTTAACGACCTGATCGATAGCCTGGATGGAAAGGATAAATGGAGGTAAAAAATACAACATTGATATTTCGTATACGAAAGATTCTGGCTTGCATGATTTTCGCGAAGTAATCGCATTTCGCTGCGATGCTTGTGTCGCCGCCATGCTTCTGGCACGTACAGCTTATTACTATCCGAAAACGTCAATCACGTGTCGCTGGAGTGCTTGGTCGGACGTGTCAAATCCAGATCTCTCGGGACTGTACGTTAAATAGCACATTTTGCATGAATCCTTTTTTGCTCTAATTACAAAATTAATGCATATTTTATCTTACCCTTGGATACGGAATTTTCTCGATCCATGTTCCACTGTAATCGAATTAAAATGCTAATAAAAAATTAAAATGAACATCTAATCAAATTAACAAGAAAATATGAATCTCTCTCTCTCTCTCTCTTTTGAATTTTCTTGCGTTATTATTTCATTTATATGCAACGATTTGATCATGATTATATCAATATATTATAATATATATATATATATATACATATTCCATTTGAACAAAGAGAAGAATATTTTCATTAATCGAGTTATCCAGGCACATCTCGCCGTATTTAAAACCGAGGACGCGATCGATTTCAACCATCCGATATTCAAAGCATCCTCGATTCACGAATGCATTGAATACTCATAGTTCGTAATCTCATCATTCCACTCAAGCAATTATCTTCGATACTTGAACGATCGCCCAATTCAGCCGTCCCTTTGTATTCGAAGCTAGAAATCGATATCGCCTATCAACGATTGCCTGTTGACCACAATCTAACCTTTCTTTTTTCTTTTTTCCTCCTTTCATCGCAGCTTACTCAACATCTTTCCCTCTCACCCCTCATATATCCCCTCCACGGTTAAATTCGTCGACGACACTTCGCGGAAACGAGGAATATTCGCGGTTCGATTGGAGGCGACGTTGAAGAGGTCGAACAACGCCGTTGAAGAGCAGGCCTCGAATGCTGACGCTGGGCTTCCATTTTCCCCGCCATCAGCATCCACCGATATAATCACCGATATAATGGCTGCTGGGCGTCCCGTGGCAAGTATCTCACCTATCTTCGAGGAGGTTAGCCTTAGTGTATCGTCGCGCCTACCGAGCGGCTTACTCGGCAACTCTATTGTTTGGTGTACAGAAGCGAAGGCACGCGATGCGCTCTTAAATATTCCCCCCTCTTCCAAAGATCATTAATTTCCTCGTCGTTGTGTTATTTTTAATTGTTGTAAGATACTGTGAAAATTGGTGTTGAGGCGATACCGGATGGATGGATTGGAACAGTTGGAAGAATTATTTGTGACTCGATTGTTTCGTAAAAAACATTTTAGAAATGTCATTTAGGGGGGTTGAGAATCATGGAAATTATTTTGAAGAATTTATAATCTAAAAGTATTTCAGATAATTATGGAATGAAAGAGCTGATATTTGATTTTTCCTTTTCATATTTATTACGTCATCCTGTAAGTAATGTTTATGTAAAATTATAATACAAGTTTTTATTTACATATAAAAATTTATTATGAATAAATGAGAGATTCTTTCTTTTATTCCAAAACACCAATTTGTATGAAAAATTTTAAAATAATTTCATTTCACAATATCTTAATTTTGATTTAGATTTAATTGGATCACTTCTGAAATGACACGACAAATATTATGCTGTTTAACGTGTCGTTATTATATACAGATAATAAATTTCACGCATGTTCCGCTCATTTTCTGAATTTAATAATGATTTAATAATTAAGCTAAGCAACGTCTATTATATTACATTTAACTTTATGACAGGATATATTGTACCAAAATACTAGGGTAGATACAATTATTCGAAACAAAAGAAGAAATATGAGAAAAGAGAGAAAGGAAATACAAATAAAGCTCGTGTAAAGTGTTTCTTGTTCTCGCTTTTCTAATTATTTGCTCGCATGTCGTGCAAGAACGATGTGCAAGAACAATCTCATTATACGTTAATTTAACAATAGAAAGTTGGTCGTATTTGTTTTAAAAGAGCTTTGTTTTTTGGATTATTAACACTCTACAAACAAGAGCGTTTATCTTCTATTGAAAGGGAAACACTAGTAGCAGTTAAAAACGTACACACTCATCATGTTCAAACATCACAATCCTCCACTTGATTATATATATTGGAATGCAGTTAATAATCCGCTTCAAATAAAAAGCGTAAACAGAAAATTTCTATTCAATACAGAAGTTCCACAGAAACTTCATTTTTTTCGCTTGTACAACAAGCAAGTACAACGAGCTACTTTCAAAGTATACAAGCCAAGTTTCTCATCAGAGAAGACTCATTCCATCAAATTACAATTTTATAAGTTTTACATTAATCTTTGATTTTCAGTTCGAAACTTCTACCTTAATATCGAATACTTATGTAACGTTGAGATGCTCTGTAGCTTCCTTTTTCTTGAAAGTAGAAGAAATAACGAAGGGAAAACTCATTTAAACATGCACTGTCGTTGCGTTTCAAAGTTAAAAAATTCCTTTCCCTCGACAATACACAACGAACCTTCTTATATCCTTATAAAACTTGAGAAGTAAATGAAGAACACGAAACTTCTTTTCAATCACTATTGAGTGTTAATTTTCAGTAAAAAATGATCGTCATTTATAGCGACAATTTATAGTCTTTTATCAAAAGTCGATTTGCATCGATCAACTATACTCTCTCGAGTCGAAAGAGTAGTATTCTGTTGCACCAAATTGGATAGAATTATGTGCTAAACAGCAACCAAGGATACGTGGTGCACGGGATACACGGCGCGGCGTCCAGAACTGCATTGCGGTACACTCGACTTCCTGCCGAGTAAAGATGACCTTCCGACTCAACTTCCGTCCACGGTAAACCGATCCGAATTTGACCTCGTACAACGTGTCTTGTATTTACCCTTTCGTGGGTGGGATTTCCTTAATTTTCAACGTTCCATATTCCAGCTAATCCCTCAAGTTTGCTCTTGTTTCAAGACTAAATGCTACGATGAATATAATGGCGAGATATCGCGTTACATTTCTTAGGATGGTACGAGTTTTCGAGTCACGCCATTGTTAAATTGGAGGGATGATTTATATCAGAACTGTATAATAAAGTTTAAATAAGAAGCTTCACTTTGTCACAGATTTTGACAGATGAGATGTCTTTATATATAAAAAAGGGAATCCAATGATGCAAATTGTCGCATAAAGTTTTTGCGAGGGAATTTTCGATTTAATTCTGAAATCGGTGCAAACGATTCTGAAGAGAAATGCTAAACAAAATTAAGAAATGCAATGGAATAGATTCGTGTAATTTTGAGTGACAAAGAAAATTATTTTGCAATTTTTATTATTTACTAGTACTCTAGTAAATAATACTTTGTTCACAAGGATCGCTTATCTTGAATATAATAAAATAAAAAGCTTTTCACAGAACCATTCTTAATCTTGGAGTAAGTAAACGATGCGCAAAGCAAGACGAGACTCAATGTTTTTGTTTTACAGATGAAGATAGATGAATATAGACGGAATTAACTATAAGTCCAATGAAACGGACAGCTCTTTTATAAGATTTACTCCGTTTTGTGGAGAAATTGTTCTTTTCACGGGAAAAATGAACTGGACGATCGCAATTCTGTTGTTCTTTTCACGACATGCTTTATAATTAACGAGTTCTCGGGTGATATACGAGTTCTTTGATTGCCAGAATTATCCATTGAAACGAATTTTCGTACGAAATAGAGAAAACCGTTACTGCATTAAATTTTAAAAAAGATTCTTAAAAAATTGAAACATGATTGGAAAATATTCAACGTATCTTCTCTCACGTATTTCGACTCGATTCTTCTACTTTAAAATTCTTAAAATGAGAAACTTGCAATTTGTAAAAAAATTAGTTAATCTTCCGATAAAATATTCGAGCTCTTCCTTCGCTAGAAAACTATTTTCGAAATCCTCGCGAATATTTAATCACACAGTAATTAAAGTACACGAATTTTCTCGCGTGATTATTTTTTACATAACGCGAAAGAAAAAAAATAAAGTTAAACGATACACGAAAAATTTGAATATCTTCGAACGTGTTTAAAGTAATTTACGAATCTTTATCCGCGCAGATACTCTTAATAAATCGAGTTTCCCTCCCATTAAATCTCCACGCAGCCTTGCACGAGCGCCATTTTCAGCGGGAGCATCCGCTGTATTAAACACGAGTATTCCGTCGTAACGCTTTAACAATGCGTCTGTTCTTCAAATATTACGTTCTCGACCTCGTGCCAAACCGCACCGCCATATATTACCTACAATGGCGCGGAAGCACGATACACGTAGAGCACGCAGGGGATACGACGAGCAAGGATTTAGAAGGAAACACAACGACTGTTTACCCTGGTTAACGCTACGGGGGGGAGGGAAAAGAATTTTCGATGCAAACATTCCTCTCATCGGGGGAGAAAATGGAGCCAGATTATATTCCTCCATTCTGTTCTCTGTCGAAGATTAATATTTAAAGGCTGCCTGATATGGAAAACGCTTCGAGTACACCCCTGTACTTCAAGGATCTAAAATCTTTATGAAACCGGCTTCCGAATTCCGAGGAATTATTTCACTCTACACGGAAATTCTTTCGAGAATATTGAATTCAGTTAAAGTGTATTCCAAGTTAATTAAATTATACATACAACTATTTATTTCGTTATCGATAATATGTTGATATATGTTGATTAAACATAGATTAAAAAGATACGTTGAATTTTGGGGGAATGTGCTTCGAACGATAATACGAGTGTTTGCATAGGTAAGTTAATGTGATTGATTTAACAACCCGTTTAACTTAAAAAAAAGAAAAATTCAAGACAATTTGATTCAATTCTAAGAGAGTTATTTTAAAACTAATCCGAGAGATTGTATATTAATATCTCAATAATTTTACCAAGAAACATTTCACACGATAAT